CGACGGGCGCGGAGGCAGGGAGGGAGGCAGGCAGCAGCACGACGGGGCGGTAGACGGAGAAGGACGCGAAGGCGGACCAGGAGGCGCCCTTGCGGACACGCCAGCTGATGGCCATCACGCTGTTCACAATGGCGCCCGCCACCAACACGGAGCGCGTCTCGAAGAACTGGCTCTGCACATTGCTGCCCATCAAGGCCATCCATCGGGGCTTCATCGGAGATGCCACTGCTCCAGGGAACCTCCATCTGCACAGACACGCTGCGCTGCGCTGCGCCTACTCCACTTCCCTCATACCAATCGCGCTCTCCACAATCCGAGCAGGCCACAACCGAACGCCAACCGAACACCAACCGAACGCCAACCGAACGCCAACCGAACGCCGGCGCGGGTCGAGAAGGTCGCGATGAGGGTTTCCGCGGGGAAGGGGAGGCCGTTTCGGGACACCAACCTGTTGGCATTGATGTAGAGCGTGCGTGCCTTCGCAAAACCGCGGGAAGGAGCCATTGAAGGCGAACGCGAAGGCGAACCCAATGGTGTAGTCGGAGATGGAGATCGCGGTGGTGGGATAGGAGAACGTGGCCTCGGCCAATTCAAACACGATGTGGATGTTCATGGGCTCGAATGGATCGTTCATCACCTCGCCCACGCCCACATTGCTCGTGCAGTACATCGTGGATTGCTTCCCATCTCCCATCGTCCACAGCGCCACGTCCCTCGCCCCATCGCCCGCCACGCAGCGCAGCGCAGCGCAGCATCGGCAGGATGGGCTGGCAGGAGCCCGTCCCCTATCGATCGATCGATCGATTCCCACTGCTGATAGGCGTTGCACCCATCCGTGATCATGCCCCACTAGTCCACATCGCACTTCGTATCCAACACTTGCCCCAAGTGCCCTTCCGGCTACCCCGCCGCTTCGTCCGCGGGGCACACCACCGCCACGCACCTCACCTCTCTTCCATTCCAACACTTCCCACACGCCCGCACCACGCACACCCCCACCTTCCCATGCTCCACAGACCCACAAATGCAGAACTGCACCGTCTTGGAACTCGCCTCCTCCCACTGGCCATTCCAGTTCACTCGGCTCCCATCAATCAGAGGCGAAGACCGTGTCCACAGCAGTTCGCATACTCCGCCTTCTTGTCCCATTCTCCCAAGTTCCACACACGCTCCGCTTCTACAAACCTACAGCTCTTGCTCCCATAGTTTGTCCTTTCACTCATCGCAAATCCGTTCTCTCTACCACACTCTACCACCTCACAATATGAAAATGAAAATACGAGAAACAGAACAGATATCCTAGGCAAGAACGTCGTGCCTGTACCAGATACCTCCCACGTTGCAAGTTATCTCCATGTATCCGCGGTCGCACATGGCATGAATGGGTTCGCCACGTTGCACAGTTTGAAGTACAGAAATTCCTCACTCGGAACACATTCCACACAGCAAAAATGGAACCAGGGTCCACCGCCATTATGGTATTGAATGCGTTCACGATACATATCTCACACACAGTTTAGTCAAAGTAACGATAGCGCACACTACACTAGCTTCTTCAAACACACCAACTTGACGACAGAACCCATCCCAGCTACAATACTTACACTCCCACAACACAACACACAAAAACACATAGAAGTCCGAAAACAAAACAAAAGACAGGACATACAAGTCCAATTCCAAATTTTGAATACATTCAAACCCAGTAAGACGAATCTAATAGCTTTGATTGTAAAACAAATGATTTCAAAAATACACAGGAATTGTGCAATTGTGAAAATAGTGTTGAAATTGGGTATGAGTGGAAGAATAGATTTCGAATAGGGAGGGAGTTGTTTTTACTGTGAAGTGGAAGGAGATGAGCGGAAATGGGATATTGTGGAATGAATAGATGGAAGAGTGTTGTTTCCAGTGGAAGCGTTTTGTTTTTCGTTCTATTCATTTGGAATTTTATCTAGATGGGATAGAAAGAAATAGGGTATGTAGAAGATGATGATAGGAATGAAAATGGAAAAGCTAGCGATAAGCAGTTTTTGGGTTATCATTTATAGTAATAATATGTAATATGTGTATAGTAGAATCGAATAGTAGAGTTTGTGAGAAAGGTGGGTGTGTCGTTGAAGAACTGAGCAAAATAAGGTAGAATACATAATATATTTTATACGAACAAATAGAGATATATTCATATTCCACTGTTTCTAGGTTTTTGGATAGTTGGTGTCCAGTTTTTGTCGTTTTGATGCACTCTGAACCTATCAGAGATTGTTATATTGCCAGAGAATACTATCCCTTATTCTAACCCATATAGTATCCCCCACCTGCCAAATAATGCAGAATATCTCCTATTTAAAGGAAGGATCGAATTGTACACCACTTCAATAGGGATACAAAGTGATTCACAATGTTGTTCTATTACGAGCATGAATAACAATAGTATACATAATACTTGCTGTTTGAGTTGGTTGATGAAAGTGAAATGCTTTGGTTCCCAACTCATTAGAATGAATAGAATTACTCACTAATAGTGATATCAGTATTGTTGATGATAAAGCTGAAATCCATAAGAATGGATACTATGGGAATGAGTAGTTGTCCAATATCAAGCTGTGAGACATATCTGGCTGATTATTTGTTGGAGACAACAATCAAACTATTACTTTTCAGATATATAGATATATATATATATATAGAAGATAGACATTGATATCTATCTATCTATCTATCTTCTTGAATTCCTTACTGAAGTTGTCCTTACAAGATATCGTGAATGAGATGTACACATTCGAATTCAAGGAGATCGGACGGTCATTCGCATCTGTCAATACCCAATCAATGGAATCCAGATTCGATTGTTCAATCACATCGATCGATAGGTTGTCCCAGGTGATCATGTTGTTCAGTCCCATCGATACATGAATCAGGTTATCGATCAGCGGACTCTTCAGACCGAATGTTTGAGCATTGATACTACTGTACACTCGGATCACACTCATGCCATTCGTGATGTCGTAGGTTCCTCTGGTTATTAACACCTCGTGTGGGGATGTCCCCGCATCGATTAATATCACTTGATCGGATGGGACATTGTGCAACACGAAGTCAGTATACAACGACACAGACGATATGGAACATTGATCGAATGACAGAGGATTGTCCAGCTTCACTTCCTTCTTCGTAGTATTACCGAACACTTCCATCATACTCAACTGGTTCATCGGTAGAATTGAGGAAGGCACTTGATCAAACACATCTTCGATCGTCAACTGGAGTTCGAATTCGCCGTTCAATCGCATGATATTACCATCCATATCGCGGAACAGGAACATCAATCGGTCGAATCGGGTTATCATCGGAATGCAGATGTCTTCCACGGTGCGGAGGTAATTAACCTCGGGATCGTCAATGATCATTGTGGTGAGCAGGTTGTTGTTCTGGTTGGCAATCTTCAGATCGGAGGAACGCACGAGAGACGAGTACACTTGGATCACTTGTCGATTTCGTGTGATATCAATCACGTTCGATCCATAGAACGAAGCAGATAGAATGACCATTCGCCCTTCCAAACCGAGGATTTCTCGAATATCCGGAGCATTGGTGAAATCGATGGTATGTGGATACTGGATATAAATACATCCATAACTCGAAGCCTTCGTAGATATCGAGAACGTAGTATCGGTCATGGTGTTGAGGATGGCAATGATTTGACCGATCGTGTAGTATCCAGGAGGAATCGTTAGCTCCTCGTCATTGGAGTTCGTGACCACATTCGTAGAATCCACATTGTTGAACATGACTTGATTGGGTCTGAAGAGGACAGTCATGGAAGTGATGTAGGGATTCCGATACTTAAAAGGTTTGATCCATTCGAACGTGCCGTTACTAGATGAGCCTTGGATGAGCAAAGAGTAGTGCATGGCTTACTCTCTTTACCATAGAGAGCAGGGCAAACAGAAGGAATCTATGAATACCCGAGTAGTTAGTAATTGGCGTGGTTATGCGCGAAAATTGGATCCCTACAGACGTGCGGCATCAGGGGGTGGCTCGGATGCCATGGAGACGAGGGGTGGAGGGGCGGATTAGCATGGCCGACCAAGTTGACAGGCAAAAATGGCCATTTTGGCGCGAAAAAGGTGGCCATAATTTTCTCGCAATACACTCCAATTCCCAACTACTACATCAGTATACTTGTTAAATCATAATGACTTTCTCTAATGTTCATTTACCAAGCGATTGTAAGTTATTAAGCGTAACACTCATAGTTATTAAATTCCATCACTATTTTTATTTCACATGTTCATACATATCATCACCTAGTACTAGATATCAGAGAAAATGATTGTAATAGACTACAGTAACGCATTCTACCTAAAAGCCAAACTATACGATATGCATCTCGCATATACATTCCTAGCATTAGCATTATTAACAATTCAAATGATCCATTATTCCTCGTGTATAAATCAAAAATGAAAACAAGTCACATCAAATTCTATTCTTCAAAATATCAAAACCATTATATTAGGATAGCGAATATCATTCCACCACAAAACTTTACCAATTATCAGCATACCTTCTCCAATCGAAACTATACGATTTCCCTATCTATCAACCCATTTCCCTAAACCAACCAACCTACACACAAAAATCAACCCTCCTATGTAAGTTTCAAAAGTAAAACCACCATGTGACCTTCAACCTTCAAATTCCACCATCAATCCTTCTCCATCGCAACAATTTTCCTATTTAATCATCTACACTTTGTAAGTCGTTTGTTCATTGCGTATCTGACAAAAGCACTTCTCTGCACCTCTGCCTTTTCACAATCCATTACTCTACGAGGCAGTACCTAACCATTGCAATTTCAGCAACAATCTCTCAAAGTACCTCGATCGCCCAAAAACCCACTCACTTACCCCAATTCCACCCACCTTCTCTCACAGCATTGCTCAAACAAACAACGTCCACCCACTTCTCACTTTCTCCACCCACATTTTTACACTTCACGCTGACCCGAATTCCTTCATCCAATCCTCGAATTTCTGCAGATCCTGCGCTCCCACAGAGCTCGACACTTTCCCCAGCGCCTCCAAAAAGTCCGCCTCCATTTCATCTCTCCCCCTCCCCTACCTGCGTCACAGGACTCTGCTTCAGCCCCTCCGCCTCCTCCCTCAGCTGCTTCTGCAACTCCTCCCCCGCCGTCCCATTGTCCCTCAGTCGCTGCACCACTCTCCGCACGCACATCATCGCCGCATCGCGGCAAATCGACGTCACGTCCGCGCCGCTGTACCCCTACATCCCACATTCCCCGCGGTTCTACCTCCGTCTTCCGCGCCAACACCTCCAGATCCACGTCCTCCGAGAGCAAAATCCCGCGGGAATTGATCTCAAACAGCTGGCGCCGCTGCGCCGCGTCGGGCAGCGGGATGTAGATTCGTTTTTCGAAGCGTCTGCGCAGCGCGTCGTCGAGATTCCACGGGAAGTTCGTGGCCGCCAGAACGGTCACAGTCCCGCGGGAGGGCGTCTGGGAGGGCGCCAGTCCGTCCATCTGGACGAGGAGCTCGGATTTGACGCGGAGAGAGGCGTCGGAGTCGGTGGCCATGCTTCGTTTGCCGCCCAAAGCGTCGACTTCGTCGATGAAAACGGTGCTGGGCGCATAAAATCGCGCCATTTCGAAGAGAAGCCGGACCAATTTCTCGGAATCGCCGCGCCATTTGCTGGCGAACGTCGACGCCGACACGCTGAAGAACGTCGTGCGGCACTCCGTCGCGATGGCCTACCGCTCAGCTCGCCTCGCCTCGCCTTGCGGCCTACCTTGGCGAGGAGGGTTTTGCCCGTTCCGGGGGGGCCGAAAAGGAGAATTCCCTTCCACGGACGGCGAATTCCTTGGAACACTTCCGGCATCACCTGCGGAAGCACCACCGCTTCCTCCAGAATCGACCGCGCCTCTCTGTGGGGTAGATGGGGAGAAACGGAGAAACGTGAGTCCAGCGATTGTGTCCCAGGGCACGTGCGGACTGTGTTCCACGACCTCTGATTCCACCATGCGCACTAGATCCAGGTCCACGGGACCGCGGTACTGCGCCGCGAACCTGTGCGTTCAAATGGGGAAACGGAGAAACTTGGATTCTTTGGAAACGTCGGAGGGGGATTCGGAATCGGAGAGATGCGTGGCATCGAGGCTCGATGACTCGCTGAACGTCGAGGACGGCTGAACAGGTGTGGTTTTGCGCGCTGGAGGAACGACCGACAGACGGTGGCCGCGCTCGTCCACGGTGAAACGAGGACGCGGAGGAACCGATTGAGCGGCTTCCAATCAATGCACATTTGTGTACAGATTACTTGGATTTTTGGTCACACGCTTACTGGGAGGTGTTTGGATAGTAGACGAAGGCAGTTTGGAAGGTCTACCAGCAAAACTGGAAAAAACAAGCAACTTGCGATTTTCATTTGGTTTCTTATCACTGTTCCACTCGCTCCTATAGGCATCGCGAAGCGAACTCAACTCTTTTATCAACAGTTTCACCTCGTTCAATTCTTGGGATGCAGAATCATAAATCTACCCATCATTCAAATTTCAAATCCTTTCTTACACGTTTAATCGAGGGAACGCGCAATTGACTTCCGCGCTTCTCTATCTGGGACTTGAACTCTTCGTATTCCGTTTCCGCAGAATAATAATCGCCATCTAGTGCATGTTCCCGCGCGCTCGATAACAACTCCGAAAGCTTGCCTAGATCGTTTTGCATCACGGATCGCAACAGGATTCGGAAATTCTTATTTGTTATTGAGAATCACTCGAGCATCCATTTTCCCGTTTTCATTGGGTGCTTTTCAGAACTGACAGAAATGGTTCAGAGTTCTGTCGATAGAAAGTCTTCTTATCGATCGATGACGCTACGTCTTTTGGACGTGTTGCTCTTTGAGGTTGTTGTACTGGCTCTGATTTGTGGTGTTATTGTATTGATTTTTCACGTCTACGACATATCCTTTTTTGCAATCTGAGAGTATTCAATTGTTTCCTTCACATGGTTACTTTTCATCGGTTCTGACTCTCATCAAATACGTGGCACAGTTGTTCGTTGCTATTCGATTTTCTGTGTTCGTTGTACGCGCCACTTTCTTCATCACTACGCTTTACGTGCATCAAGGTGGCTCAATGGTGGTTTTCTCATTTCCAGACCTGATCATTGCCTTTATATTTTTGCTCGTTGGTGTGTTCTATGTGTTCATTAAGGAAGACGTTATTCAGTCGCTGTAGCTCTTTTTGTTGTGAATGAATGGAATAGGATTCAACGTCTGGACTACTATGTCGACCCAGTGGTGCTGGTGATTGTACAGAAAGGATTCAAAACTGTGAAGCGTGAATTTTCTGTTTTTTTGGTCTATTTTACTTACCTGCTGATCGCAGTTCTTGTATGTACCCTCGTCGAGTTGGCAGGACGTGCTCTTTGGAGAAACCTCGTGGACGACCTTCAGTTGCACGCATTTAACAAGAAGCAGTTGATAGATGGACTAAAGCAGTTTGGTATTGGGATCGGTGTTGCCAATGAGAAGGAAAAGCAAGATTAGTTTTTCGGTTGTTTGTTTCAAACCCACAGGATGGACCTTTCCGATGATGGAATAAGTTTCGCAGCATCCGATTTTGGATTAATGATTGAATGAGAGATCGGCCATTCAAATGAGAGAAGCATGATAATAGTGCGCACCAGTTAAGTTCCGCGGATTTCGTGCATTCCTAGCGCCTATTGAAGATTCGAATCACACTTACCAGAAAACATTAATAAATAGATGGCTGCTTTAACGGAGTATACCTGGATTCCTTGGTGCTGTGCAGTTGTTGCATTCTTCTGTGCCTTCGGAATTGGTAGGCTCTGACTTCCCTACGTTTGATGTGTAGGAGCTAACGATGTCGCTAATGCATTCGCTACTTCGGTTGGTTCGGGTGCACTCTCTCTAAAGGCGGCTATTATTATTGCTGCAGTGATGGAGTTTAGTGGAGCTTTTCTCCTTGGAGGAAATGTGGCTACCACCATCATGAGGGGTATTACAAATCCTGATTTGTTCGTTGACACTCCTGAAGTGTTGATGTTGGGAATGTTTGTAGTTGTTTTGTGTGTTGCTGCCTGGTTGATTTTGGCTACCGTGTATGGTCTGCCCGTGTCTACAACACACTCCTGCATTGGAGGACTTGTCGGAATGGCGGTGGTTGCGAAGGGATGGAAGGCCGTGTACTGGGGCAAGGTGGGACAGGTTGCGCTCTCCTGGATCATCACCCCGGTCATCTCCAGTCTTCTCTCCTCTTTTGTTTTTTGGCTGGTTCGCAAGTACGTCCTCCGCTCGAAGGAGCCGCTTCGTCGCGGGTTCCAAGTGTACCCGTCGATCATCGGTCTCACGATCGGTATCAACCTCTTCCTCGTTCTCTACACGAGCGAGTCTCTGGACATCCCTCTGGCCTGGTACTACATCCTGCTCATCTGCGTGGCGGTGGCGGTGGTGATCGGTCTCTTCGTGAACTTCGCGATCCTCCCTCGCCAGAAGCGCGCCATCGAGCGCGAGCAGAACCGCAAGGAGCTCGAGCTGCACGAGAAGGACATCGTTGTGGACGTGGACGTGGTGAAGAAGACCGTGGAGGTGCCGGTGACCATCGAGACGGTCCCCGAAGTCCCCAACGAGTCGCACGCCGCGGCGGAGTCGACGCCGGTCACCGCGCCGAGCGCGACCACGCCGGAGCCTGCAAAAGAAGCGGCGAGCGAGGCTGCGAGCGACGTGGAGAAGGAGCCTGTGAAGGAGGGAGCGAAGGAGCACGGGAAGGAAAGCAAGTTCGAGCACCTGATGGAGAAGCAGAACATCCACGCGGAGCTGGAGGACGAGAAGTCGAAGGTGTACCAGCTGCACAAGAACGCGGAGGTCTTCGACGAGCGCACGGAGAAGCTCTTCACCTACCTGCAGATCATCACGGCCATCTTCAACTCCTTCGCGCACGGCGCGAACGACGTGGCGAACGCGATCGGCCCCTTCGCGGCGTGCATCTCCATCTACGAGACCGGCGTCGCCTCGCCCAAAGCCACGCCCGAGACTTGGTGCCTCGTCCTCGGAGGAGCCGGCATCGTCGTCGGACTGGCCTGTCTGGGATACAAGGTCATGGCCGCCATTGGAGTCAATATGGTGAAGGTCACGCCGTCCAGAGGATTCTCCATCGAGATCGCCTCATCGCTGGTGGTGCTGTTTGGGTCTGCGCTGGGACTGCCGCTGTCGACCACGCATTGTAAGGTGGGATCCACGGTCGGAGTGGGACTCGTGGAAGGAAAGAGCGGAGTTAATTGGTCGCTGTTGTATGGAGTGTTCGCGGGATGGATCTTCACACTGTTTATTTGTGCAGTGTCCACGGGGCTGATTTACGCGTTTGCATTGTTCTCTCCAAAGCTGTAGTTTTATGATAAAAAATAAATAGTAACGATTTTTGTGTTTGAGACTATTAAACTGGTGCGGCCAATCAGAGCGCGCGAAGGTCTGATGAATCTAAAAAGTCGTGCTTAGCAATCGCAAGTCGATTCTTTGTTCATCGTAACCTTGTTCTTAACTGATTGAATTAAATGGCTTTTGGTAACTACGTTGCTGTATCTGTTGGCTGGCTTTCTCTGATCCCGCCTATTCTTGCTATGGTACTCGCGCTCATTACGAAAGAGGTGGTTTCATCTCTTTTACTCGGTTGTATTTCCGCCTGCATCATCTATTCTGTTGCTGTCCTTATGGGTAAAGCTCCGGGCCTGGAAAAGGCAAATCCAGTAGATGTCCTATTTATCACCATGGGTACCAAAATTGGAGAAAACATTTATATCTGTTTATTCCTACTCTTTATGGGTGGGCTGATCACTCTGCTGACCGTATCTGGCGGATCGAAGGCGTATGGTCGATTGGCTCACAAGTATATCCATGGAAAGCGCCCCGCACTGATTTCGACGGTGGTCCTGGGCGTTCTCATGTTTCTAGATGACTATTTTAATGCGATCACTACAGGTACTGTCATGCGCACGGTGGCGGAAGTCAACAACGTTTCGAAACCGAAACTTGCCTATCTGGTCCACACGATCGCCACCAACATGTGTATCACCATCCCTCTCACCTCGTGGGCTGCTGCCATTGTGGCTCAGATCAATGACTCGGGTGTGGAGAACGGCCTCGTGGTGTTTCTCAACACAGTGCCCTACAATATCTACAGTATCCTTTCGTTTTTGATGATCCTCATCACGATCATTTTCGATTTTGACTATGGCAAAATGAAATTCTATGAAGACAACGCGAAGTTGGGGCTCAGTGCCACCGACGGATCCATTGACAAATCCTCCATCGTTCAAACCAACGAACAAACCGACAAGGGCTCCGTCTGGGACCTGCTGGCGCCCATTCTCGCGCTGGTTCTCCTCTCTCTCTACTTCATGTTCTATCTTGGCGGCTTTTTCAACGGCGGAATCTCCGTCACCGACGCGCTGCACGAAACCTCCGCTCCCAACGCGCTGCTCTACGCGTGCTTCTTCGCCCTCCTGCTCACGCTGCTTCTCTACGTGCCTCGCAAGCTGATGAGCTTCTTGGACTGGATCGAGAACCTGAAGGAGGGAATGAAGACCATGATTCCGACCCTGATGATCCTCGTGTTGGCTTGGACCATCAGCGGAACCAGCGGCGACCTCCTTCAAACCGGCGACTACGTCGGCCAGCTCATCCAGAACTCCCCGATTCCGCAGATGATGATCCCCGCGGTAGTGTTTATCGTGGGCATGGCGCTGTCGTTCAGCATGGGCACGGCGTGGGGCACGTTCGGCGTGCTGATTCCGATCGTCGTGAAGATTTGCAGCGGAGACAACGCAAAATATTTAGAGCCTGCGATCTCCGCGTGTCTCTGCGGCAGTGTCTTCGGAGACAACACGTCGCCGATTTCCGATACCACCGTCTTGGTTTCCTCGTCCACGCAATGCTCGTTCTTGGTACACGTGTCCACACAACTGCCCTACGCGATTACCGTCGCGGGAATCAGCATCATCGGGTATTTAATCGCGGGGTTCACGTGCAATCCGTGGATCTCGCTGGGCGCTTCGGTTGTGTTGCTGCTGCTGGTGCTGGGAGGCGTGTGGTACTGGCAGAAGAAGCACGTGGTGAGCAGCGCGGCGTTCGAAGTGGAGATGCAGGACTTGGACAAAGAGAAGAAGAAGGGCGAGGAAGGAAAAGGAGAAGGCGAGGAAGGCGTCGAGCAGCAGCAGCAGCAGCAGACGATCGCGATGGTGGACGACGAAGAGCTGAAGAAGCTGGAAGAGAACGAGCGGGATGTGGAGAATAGCGAGTTGGATATTGAAGTGGGGTCGAGTGTGACGCATCGCGTGTCGCCACAGCCCGTGCCTCCGCTGCCGATTCCGGTGGCGAATGAATAAGCGAACGATGTGTGGAGAAAAAGGATTAGCTGAAAAGGCTTCTTAAGAAGAGTGAAATCGTTTTCAGTTGGTGAGGTGTTTGTTGGAACGAAAGAAAGAAGTGTTTCAAGTAAAAAGCGATGTGTTTCAAGTAGTAATGAGAGTGTTTAGTGAGTACATGAGATTCTATAAAGAAAGATGGATTAATTAATCAGCGTTAGATGTGTTTTTGCTTATTCCTAATGAATCCAATAGATCCATCACACACACACACACACATTTCTCTTTGTTTGCTTCGCCATTTCTCTTTTCCCTCTCCTTTCTCCCAACAAACACTCCCTATTCTACAATCATCTACCCACACCGTCCAAATCTCCCTTCTCGAACTGGAACAGCGTGCAGTACCCGTCCGACGACGCCGTCATCGCGAACCTCCCGTCCGCGCTCCTACTCCTCACCTCTCCGCCTCTCCCTCACCACGCGAAGTCGCAGATCTGCGCGTAGTGGATGTTCCCCACGTAGAACCGCGGGGCCGCCTCGTCCGTCCGGTACAGGAACACTTCCTCCGTCGTCGTCACCGCCAGCACGTGCGCGTACCTACCTCGCAACCCTCCGGTGAGCCCACTCGCAGCCCAGCACCTCCGCCACGCTCCCCGCACTCGACGCCCCGCGGGAATCGCGCGCGTACCGCAGAGGCGAGAAGCGACACACCACCGTGGGGAACGAGAAAACGGGCAGACAGGAAAGGGGCCTATTTCTGGAATGCCAAAAATACCCACTTCTCGAAAACACCGTTCAGGTAAAGATACGTGCAGTTCCGCGGGACGCCGCCTTCCTTGTCCAGAGTGACCCCTAATTGGGACAGGCTCCACAATATGTACCACAAGGAATCGCGGTTAAAAGACCGTCGAAACTGCTGTGCGGACGCCGGTAAAACGAAGGAACCGTGTCCCCGAGAAACATAAAATAACCGCGGGCACCGCTCTTCCCAACAGTCCCTTCCTCCCCCGGATTCTCCCCCGCGTTTCCACTGTTTCCCTGGTTTCCACTATGGTTCTCCAATTGGTTTCCACTGTTTCCCTGATTCCCCATTTGGTTTCCACCTTGGTTCTCCAATTGGTTACCACAGTTTCCCCGGTTTCCACAGTTTCCCCGATTCCCCGATTGGTTTCCCCGTTGTGGCGGGGGCGTTACAATGGGTGCGTCGGGGGTGGAAATAACCGCGGCCAGCGCGTCTTCCTCGGCCGCGTCGGTTTCTCCCTCTGCGAAAAGGCGTTTCTTGAGCACGGCGCGGCAGCCCACTACATGCAACCCCGCTCCCTGGCTCACGAGGCTTGTTATGCACCACGCTGCGGCTGATGCGGAACTCGCTGCGCAGCGCGGCGGCGGCCAGCGCGGTCCAATCCTCGGTCTGCAGACTCGGATTCACGCGGCCGCGCGCGTAGCTGTACACGCGCGCCGTGCGGTCGTTCGCCACGCTCACGATCGAAACGTCGTCGCGCGACCAGTCGATGCCCTGGATGTAGCCCGAGTGGTCGTGCAGACGCACGTATTGCGTGCCGTCGATGCCCCAGATGATGATGTTCGAGTCCGTCCCGCTGCTGACCAGGAATTGGCTTGTGGGGCTCCAGCTGATGTCGTAGATGTCCATCGCGTGGCCGCTGGGGTGAAGGGAGGGAAGGGAGCCTACCGGATGATCTTCTTCTCGAAACAGTTCTCTTTGGTGATCTCGCACCAGTTGTGACAGACGGAGGGACGAAGCTTCCAGATGATGATGCAGCCGTCTACAAATGAGACAAGGGGGAGGAGAATCCACCATCTCCCGCGGAGGCGAGCAGCTTTCCTAGAAGAATGACACGTTTGCAAAGCACCTACGATCGGGTGAAAATCGAACGACATTGACGGATTGTGTGTGGCCCCTGAGCGAATAGCAAAATTCAACGACGGGTTCTTCCCCAGAGGTGTTCAACTTCCAGATCTAGCAATTAGCTAATGGCAACGAGTCCCACCTTCACTTCGTGGTCTCCTCCTCCGGTTGCAAATACAGTCTCATTCAAAAAGTCAACCGACAGCACCGGATCATTATGGGTCGCTTCGGGTCTCCGGTGCCACGCAATCTCAACTGTCTTCACCTTCATCTGCCCCAAACTTTGTAATCACGAGCGATCGAAGACAATTCTGTTTTCAAGTCTCTCATCACTCTCGTTGCGCACACTCCTGCATTCCTGCACTCCTACACTCCCATTCCCCTCCCACTGCATCCTTTTGTCCAACAAACACCCCATGCACATCCACCTTTACATTTCTCCTCCTGCCCGGTCTCCGCATCGGCAATCGCGCCCACCAGCCGGCTACAGCACGGAATGGTATCGGGCGGGTTACAAATCAAGTAATACTGCCCCTCCTTGCTCCTCAACTGCCCCGAGCATTTCCTGCTACAACTCACGCGATCCCCGCGATCCCACCTCCCATTGCAGTTCCCCGTGCAGTCACACGACAGTACCGGCAGGATGGTGCACGTGAACCCCGCGGGGAGCCGCTGCCGGTCGCGAATCAGCGTGAGCGAGAAGTAAACGGGCTGCACGACGCCGCCCATCACGCAGTGCCGAATAATGCACTGCGACGGCGCCGCCAGCTGGCTGTGCAGCATGTAGCTGTAGCTCCTACCGCTGATTCCACGGTTCTACGATTACCCGAAGGCGCAGGGCAGGTCTTCCGGGTGCGTGAAGCGGAAGAGCGTCATCGTTTTGAGGTCGTCCAGCGTGCAGCGCGTCAGTCTACCCAACAGTGGAAACGTGGAAACCGACGTGCAGAACTGGGAGTTGGCGTCGATGAATTGGCCGTCGGTGCTGAGGATGGCCATGGGCACCGGAGACTGCAGGAAGAGCACGTGGTAGTTGATCTTCTGCTGCGCGACGATCTCTTTGACTTGGCCCAGACGCTTGTTCGCTTTGGCTTCGGCGGTCTGGACCTGCTCGCGCAGCGTGGAGATCTGATGTTGCAGATGGCGGAGGAACTTGATGGACTCCATCAGGATGTTGATCTTGCTCTTGTTGATCACGGAGCCAGTCGACTGCGGTGGTGAGACAGGGCATGGAGAGTACCGAGATGATCGAGTACAGCTCTTCGATCTTCGCGTTGAGACGCTCCACACGGCGCTTTTCGGACGTGTTGTGAACTAAAAGTCAAGAAAAACCAGGGAAATGAACGCTTCTTACGAGAGCCAGGTTTCACCCCAGATTCAAGGGGATAATTATTTGGACTCTACGTTGTGATGAAACCTAAAAAACGAGATACGTTGGCTGCTATGAAACTACTATTATTAGGATTTTGCACAAGCGGGGGAAACTGCGTGGAAATGGGTAGGGAGAGCGAGGGCTTGCTTTGCAGTTGAGCATAGTCCACAGAGCTCTCCACTGGCATGGTATCTAGATTCGAAAAAGATACACGCGGCTGGAGATATTGATCAGCACTAGGGTTTCTAGAAATAAGCGGGGGAATGGAAAGTCCAACGCTTGAAAATTCATGTTATTTCCTTCCAAGGCATCAGTGGGAGATAATAGAACGGGAGACGCTTCGTCTACAAATTCGATGCAACTGGGCATTATTATACCTGGAAGAAACACTTCTGTATCATGAGAAGCACTCGTGCCCCATTCTGTTCCTGTTATCACACTTTCTTCTTCTTTTGAAGCTCCACTGACTCCAAAAGAGGAGTAATCGTCATGCGGATCGAACATCATGTCTCCAAAAGAGTTGGTCATGTCTGTTGATCCAAACAACAGATGATTCAACGTATCGGGGTCACTCTGCTCTGCTCCAACCGTACTCCAACCAAAACTCGCTAACATTAAAAAATGTTGAAGAAACCTAAAGACATTATTCTTCTTCTTCCGCGATTATTGCTAACAAACATACTTTAATTTGACATGTTTTTTCCTCACCGGCGCAGCAACTTCTCCACGTATGACATCAGCTCTGCGACCTGTCCTTCCTTGGCACCCAATTCCTTCTACACCTCCCATCCCCTCCATCTCTCCCACCTTCAGCGACTGAATCTGCTCCGCCTGGAACTGCAGCTGCTTCGCCACATTCGTTCCCGACGGTCCTTCCTCCTCCCTCTCCATCATCGCCGATTCGATCTTCGCTGTCTGCAACTGGCTTCGCAGCGAGGCCAGCTGCTCTTCATACTGTTTCTGCATCGCGTCCATCCGCTCCTGCAGACTCGCACTGAACGATTCGAACTGCGCCTGCGCCTGTTTCGCCTGGTCCCCCAGCACGTCATTCTGCCGCTCAATTTCCCCGCCAATTTTCCACTTTGTGCATCAAATTGTGTACCGCCAGAGTCAAGCCCTGCTTCTCCTGCTCCAGCCGCGCGATTTCCTCCTCTCGCTGCCTCACCGCTTCCTGCTGCGCACTCAGCTCCTTTCGCGCCTCTTCCAGCGTCTTCCCCGCGGTTTCCGCCTGGATCTGCGACGCTCCCGCGGTTCGCGCGGCCTCCTCGATCTGCCCGCGCAGCCGCGTCTGCTGCTGCTTCTCGTCCTCGATGAGTCTTCGATAGAGTTCGATTCGCTGCGCGTATTCGCTTTCGAGCGTCTTCTGCGTCTGTTCGCGTTGATTCAATTCGTCTTTGGCGCTCTGCAGCGCACACTGCGCGCCTCTAGAGAGCATCGACGTGAGTTCTGAGGGCTACGATAACGTCTCGCGGAGCTGCGCCAGCTCTGCGTTTCTGTGCTCGATTTCGAGTTTGGCGTCGCGCGTCTGCTGCTGCGCGGCGTGGAGCGCGAGCTGCGATTTCAAGAAATGAAAGAGAGCTACGTTGACGGAGTCCAGCTGCCGTTTGCTGAGAATGAGCTGGTCCTGGAGGGACTTGAGCTCGATCTGGCTGTTGGAAACCACTTCGTTCATCGCGGTTTTCCACTGGGCTTCCTTGTTGGTGATCGCTTCCTCGACGATCTTGGGAATCGTCTGGTCGTATTCGTTCAGCACCTGGAACATTCGCTCGTTCTCCGCTTCCAGCTGCACGCGAAGCTTCCGCAACTCCGTCTAGTGGTGACGTTCTCAGCGCGCACTACGACTTGGCTCTCTGTTTTCTTCAGAGAATCGGTGAGTAACGCGATCACTTTCTCGCTCTCCGCTTTGGCCGCCAATTCCACGCGTTTGCGCTCGATTATCAAGTCGGACTCGGTGTATTTCGGCTTCTCGCTGGTGAGGCGCGTGATGAGCGACGGCGGGATGGGGACGGAGGAGTAGTAGAGAAGGGAGTGCGAGGGCGTCGGGGAATCGGAGGTCCGGAGGTCGAAGAGGGCGCTCTGGCGGCGATTGGCGGCGTGGAGTTGGCGGATTTGTTGGAGGGGCTGCGAAGAAGAGGAGGGAGAAAGGGAGGGAGAAAGGGAGGGAGAGGGAGAAAGGAAGGAGTCGTTGGATGGATTGGATGGATTGGGAGGGAGCGAGGACACGGTTTGCTCCACGATGGTTTGCAACTCGGAGGAGAGAGTTGGGTCAATGGGAGCAGTGGATTCAATAGGGACAGTGGAATCAATGGGGACATTCGATTCAATAGGGACATTCGATTCAATGGGGACATTAGATTCAATGGGGACATTGGATTCAATTGGCTCAGCTGATTCACAATGAATGATTGGTTCGATGGTGTGAGTTTCTCCCAATTGCTTGTGGGATTTATTCATTTGATTTGACTCTTCCACTTCATTTGATTCAATGTGATGTTCTTCTTCTTCCATTGAAGCATTCACTTCTTCAAGAACCTTCGAATCATTTACATCATTCGAATCGTTTGAATCATTTCCATCCAATTGAACATCTTCCTGTGGAACATCAGCAGATTTCGTGTCGATCTCCACTTCCATGAGCTCGTTCGACTCAATAGGGATTTCTAATTCTTCCTGCTTGATTTCATTCTGATCGATGGGCTCAATAGGTTCATTCGGCTCAATGATGACTTTCGATTCGATTGGTTCATTGGAGTCCACACGATTGTTCGACTCCTCAACAGTATTCAGCTCATTGGAAAAATCTTCTTCCGTCAAATCATTTGATTTTACAACAATATTGGATTTCTCATTCACATTGGATTCGACGGACTTGATAGATTCAATAGGTTTATTCGATTGGTCTGGTTCAACGGAATCAACAACATTATCATTTGATTCAGCGAGCTCATTCATTTGATTCACAATATCTGACTCTTTTGGTTCACTCGATTCTTTGAGTTCCTTTGTGTCAACAAGATCGCTTGATTCCGGATTCATTTCTTCCTTCGATTCATTCAACTCCTTCCGAGTCTCCAATTCTTTTTCACTCTTTGCTTCGTGTTGTTCATTTGTTTCATTCCGTTGATTCATTTCCACAGAAATCTCATCCACTGCTTCCCTATTCAATGACTCACATCCCTTCATTTCCCCTTCATTTTCATTTTCATTGAATTCCTTTCCTTCTTCCTTCGATTCATCCGTTTGTTTTGATTCTTCCACCATTTCCTTCGAATTCTCTTCGAACTCTTCTGCCTTATTCACACTTTCCTTTTCAATCTTCTCAGCTTCTTCTTCTTCTTCCATCCTTTCCTCCTCTTTCTCTGCCCTCTCCAAAATAGCCGCATTTTCCGGAATTCCAAACAGATCTTCATTCTTTGATATCTCATTGATTTTACTTTCCTGTTGATTCTTTTCGGATTTCTTTTCGACCTCCTCCTTAGTTTCATACTCTTTTTCACTCTTTATTATGATTGGAGGTATTACAGTTCCCTCCCCAGACTCAGCAGCTTTACTCTCTTCTTTCTTTGCAATTTCCCCATTTGAATCATTCAGTGCAACTCGCTTATCACTAAATATCTCTATCTCAGGCTCAGATTGTGTCGCAAAATGACTATTCTGCAAAAACCGAGAAAAACGACTTTCATAACGGCTTTTCCTCTTTACTGAAGAAGGTGTAGTAAAATCAAAACACAAAACTCCATCTGTATTCGCATTCTCATCTACCATCGATAATTCAACTAAAATTCAAACTCCTTGGCACCTCTGTATGAGAGGAATTCACTGGAGTGGAATCTACTTGTATAGCGGAAGAGGTTGATTCCATTCGGCTGTTTTCGTTTTCATTTATACTACAGGTCTCTACAATCTCATCTCGAATCCGTTCACGCACTATGATCGCCTTCAGAAACTCCCTCCTTAATGAGCGGCACTGTTGCCTCTAGATTCATATCTTATTATCGACCACTGCAGTGAAAATAAAAAATCGAGATCGAATCAATTCAACAAAAATGAGTATATCAAAACAAACAGCAATGAAGGAAAACCATAGTACATTTTATAAAACACTTCTTTACTTTTCGTTGCGAATGCGGCGAGCCAGCTGCATATCTCTCGGCATAATCGTCACACGCTTGGCGTGGATGGCGCACAGGTTGGTATCTTCGAACAGAGAAACCAGGTAAGCCTCAGCAGCCTCCTGAAGAGCCATCACAGCAGATCCCTGGAAACGGAGATCGTTCTTGAAGTCCTGGGCAACTTCGCGCACCAATCTCTGGAAGGGCAATTTGCGAATCAGAAGCTCGGTGCTCTTCTGATACTTGCGGATCTCACGCAGAGCCACAGTTCCGGGGCGATAACGATGGGGCTTCTTCACAGCTCCAGCAGCGGGCGAACTTTTACGAGCAGCCTTGGTAGCCAGTTGCTTACGAGGAACCTTTCCTCCAGTGCTTTTACGAGCAGTTTGCTTAGTACGAGCCATTGCAAATAGAAACAATTATGAAGGTCAAACAACTCATACAGAAATGACAAAATCGACGATTTCGAGTAATCTTCAAATGATTGGGTGAAAGTTGACTATGTCGACTTCTATCCAATCATCTCTCGGATTTGGTTTTGGACGATTTTTGCTACTTTGAGTACTTGTTCCAATCTCCTCATTAAATCTTTATAAACACATCGAGCAAATAAAATGTCTGGACGTGGAAAAGGAGGAAAAGGACTTGGAAAGGGAGGAGCCAAGAGACATCGCAAGGTGATGCGTGATAATATTCTGGGTATTACCAAGCCCGCTATTCGTCGTCTGGCTCGCAGAGGAGGAGTCAAGCGTATCTCGGGTCTGATCTATGATGAAACCCGTTCTGTGCTGAAGACCTTCCTTGACGGAGTGGTTCGTGACGCTGTGACGTACACGGAGCACGCCAAGAGAAAGACTGTCACTGCCATGGACGTTGTGTACGCGCTGAAGAGACAGGGAAGAACCCTGTACGGTTTCGGCTATTAAATTTAAACTGCTGTATCATATATTTAAGCATGTTTGTTGAAAACAGGACACAAAGGAAGAGGAACTTCGATTGTCTTTCCCGCGAACTTCTCACTCACCTTCACCATGCAGGCAAGTCTGGAACTACATATCAAAATGCCGAAGAGAAGCATTACGTGGGCTTCGCCCCAAACACGACATTGCTCAGGAGATCTTGCTCCTGCTCCTTGGCGGGAGGAATCGCAGCGAAAAGGTCCTCAGGAAGGATAATGTGGCAACTTCCGCAGCTACCACCTCCACCGCAGACCGCTATCGAATAATTCACGAATTTAGGACGCACCAGTGATATCTACGGCTTCATTCTGACAGACCTCGAGGAGCGTAGTTCCCTTGTCGGCTTCCACTTCAATTGTGTCTTCATCGGCTACGGAGTGGAGGGCGAACTCGACTAGTGCAAAAACGCAAAATGGTTTAACAAACCTCCAAAGCAGCGCGAAAAGAGAGCACCGTGGCTTCTCTTGAGAAGAGAGGACGTAGCACGCACAAGGAAAGACATGGGAGAAAAACCAAAAAAACTGTATGAAACAAACAGAGAGGAGACGATAACCAAAGAAAGACAATTCTATTTTATTATTATTTCCGACAGATCGTCTCCACACGTGACATCCCCTTCATGTCCTTTCCTCTCTCCTTGGCTCACCCTCTTTCTCCAACAGTCCAATCCCGTTCACAAACAGAATCGTCTGGTAGTCGCGCTCGTTGGCGCGCAGAAAGCTCAGCTCTCCCACAAAGAGCACAAAATCATCCAGCGTCACGCGCACCTTCTTCGCTCTCCACTCCTCCACATCGTGGCAGTTCCAGATCTATCTCACAGCCCTCCTTCTCCCCTACTCGCATGAAAGCGATCATCACCGGCGTATCAAACAGAACAAACAGCGAGCTCCTCTTATTCCTCAACGACGCCGAGCCCTCACGCACCGCGCTGCTATCCAGGTACAACGACCTCCACGGTTTCCACGATTTCTCCGGACTGTCGGTTCTGTTCACGACGAGGCCTTCGATTTTGTGCCGGTACGGCCGGCCGTCGTCGTCCAGCGGCAGCGGATCGGAGAAGAGGCGACAGTAGGAAGACGGGATGACGCGGCCGAGGGGATCGACGAACTGGATGCGATCGAGCGCCACGAAGCGCGACGCTCTCCACGTGGAGAGGATCTCGATGCGGAGAATCGACCCGAAGGGCGAGCGATCGGCGAGAAAGCTGCTCAGCGAGGTGAACGTGTTGGTCGCGTTCATCATGGGAGGAGCGGGCTGCTGCCCGGGGAACTGGAAGCGGAGGTACGGCCAGGAGAAGGGCGGCTCGGGCTGGTAAAAGGGAACCATCTGCCCGAAGTCGAACTGCGCGACGCCTGGAGCGGGCCGGAGCAACACGGGCTAGCTGTGAGGGGAGGGGGAAACGGGGAACCAGTCGGAACGAGTTCTGCCGGAGGGCGATGAGGAGGTAGCGAACGCCGCAGCGACGGTCTTTGAAGTTGCCGTTGTAGTTGTAGAAGCGCAGGCCCTTGACACGCGTCTGATGGCGCAGATGGATCTGATGGATGAGGCAGAGAGAGGAACGGATACGACGAGGTGCGGGCAGTAGTAGCCCGGGATGAGAGGGAAGCGGAACATGGACGACGGCTCGAGCGTGATGAAGGGAGGCTGGAAGAGCGTGTCGAGGTCGGATTCGGAGAGAATGGCCCAGGACTTCCCGTTGGTTATGAGCATGCAGGAGCGAGCGCGGCTGACGGGGACCACATCGTCGTTCTCGCCGATGACTTCGATGCCGCTGAGCCCGAAGAAGTTGTCGTCGCCCCAAGTTTGGAGGATGAACAAGTCGATCTCTTCGAGGAAGAGACAGGGATTGGCTTTGCTGAGGATCGGATAGCTCGACGGGCTTCGGGCGTTGAGGAAGAAGCTCCAGGACGAATCGCCGAGGCCTGAGGGGCCAAAGACAGACTGGAAGGAATCGTCGAACCCTGAGTGATGAAAAAAGAGGGATAACAACGTACTGGAATCGGAGTAGGAGTCGGAGTCGGAGGAAGGCTCCATAGGAAAGTCAAACGGGAGGTTGAAGGGAGAGTTCGCAGGAGGAATGGGTGAGGGATTGGAAGGCGAATGAAAGGAAGAAGGAGATGGAGGTTTGCAAGGTGTAATGAGAGGAGGATCACGTGGTGGAAAGGGAGGAACCTTCAGCGGCGAAATAAAAGGAGAACCAGATGGTGAAGTGCAGGGAGAATCCGTCGGCGAAATGGGAGGCGACTCGAGGAGAGGAACGGGATTGGGCTCAGGACGCGAAACGCAGGGAGGATTAATCAGGGAAATAAAGGGAAGATTAACCGGGGAAGTACCAGAAGGATTCACCGGAGAAATAGCAGGCGAAGTCACCGGTGAAATAACAGGCGAAGTCACCGGAGAAATAAGAGGAGTATCGACCGGTGAAAGAATAAGAGGAGAATCAGAAGAAGGAGCATCGACCGGTGCAATGGGAGACAACTCAGAAGGAGAATCGGAAGAAGAATCGAGCTGAGTATCAACGAGAGAAGGCAGATCCGATGAGTTGTCAACAGGGGAATCATGAGATGCATTGGCGGGAGAATCCATAGGTAAATCGACAGACAAGTCCTGTGAGGGCTCAGTTACCCCATCACATGGTGAATTACAGAGTGCAATGGAGGGAGGAGCATGAGAAGAATCATGGTCATGAGAAGACTCCGAGAAAGAAGGTGAATCAGTTGGAGCACTGGCTTGCAAGTTGGATGCTAAAGCAGGCTGAGAAAGGGAAGTGGAATCAGTCAAGGAGTGAAGAGGCGGGTGGAGCGGGAGACGAGGAGACAGAGAAGACGAAGTAGCAGGCGAATCAACAAAAGAATCAACAGGTGAATCAGAAGATGAAACATCAGAGGAATCGGATGATGAGCCAGCAAACAACTCAATAAACGAATCAACCAAAGAAGAAACAGACAAATCAGTGGGCGAGTGAAGCAGCGAAGACAACGAAGAAGAAGTGGGGTGAGAACAACTTCGAGGCTTCCGGTTTTGGATCGAAAACGAGGGCTGCACGGAGAAAGAAGGGCAAAGCGGGGGACTGAAAACATTTCTCTCATTCGCAGCACTCATCGAACTCATCGAACTCATTCCATTGAAAACGTTCAGCACGTTCAGCACATTCATCGCATTCAAAACACGTAGAACAATGCGAGTCACTGCAGGAAGCAATTCGAACAAGCGATTCAAAACACAGAGCGAACACGGATAGCGAAGCAGACAGGCCCGTTCAGCATCTCCCAGGCCGTTCGGAGCCGTTTTCAAGCCTCTCCGGGCCGACGACATCTCTTCGGATATGTTGGGAACCTCGCGAGTTTCGCTTGAGAAATTCGAGGAACCGGGCAGAGAGGCGAGCGAGATGGGAGAGACTGGGCGGAAGGGTTGATTGGAGAAAGACAAGGAAGAGAAGAAAAGGTTGAAGAAGAAAAAGAACAAGAAAGGAGCGAACGAGAGACGTGACGACAAATTCTGAGGACTGCAGGGACACAACGCAGATTCAGAGGCAGACAAACAAACAATTGCACAGGAGGGAACGCTCTCGGAGTGTCTGGGAAGCGGAAAGAAGAAGAAAATGCGACGCTTTGGAACGACTTCCCGCTCACTCGAGATGAAAATAGCAAATCCTAGAAACGACATAAATAAGAAATGATAAGTCTAGATGTGAGATACCTAAGACACACACTCTTTCCCGATGGTAATCTTGACAATGCGGTAAACTTGTGACAGGTAACGTGGTCACTGATCGAAAAACAAATGTATGTAGTGCGTAGTTAGTTTCCTGTTTCGAAAATATAAATTAAACCTACAAAGGGTGCGTGAGGATAAGTTGCCAGATCCTCCATTTTCAGCGGCTCGTTACACCTGCCAAGCATGGTACTACCTCCACAAAATGCATTGTCGTAATTGAAGCAATAATATCTGACATATAGTCCGTTTAATGAATCTTCCCGTTGCATCTCTCTCCTATCTCCCAACTGCCTTTCAGATTCTGCAGAACCACATGGGAGTAGCGATTGACTTGTATTCAGAAGATGTATCGTCATGGATTGTTCATTTATATCCATATTCCCTTCTCTATCTAATGAACGACAAAACTCAACACGGTACTTGTCAAATGAACTTGGCGAGTAAATTTGTTTACTGTCCATTTGACTCCCATTCCAAAAAATATACGCCTCTAGAGACTAAGAGGAAAACAAAGTCTTATATACCTGCCGGCATGAATAGAATCAAAAAAATAGTGAGCAGTTAAACAACAACCATATTCATCAATCAAAATACTAAATATATAAAAATGTATAAACTTTCCCAAGCAAAAAGAGCCAATACTCGATCTGCATCGCCAATGGAGACATAGAATCTACGACAAAAACACAATATTTCCTTTTGTTAGGCTTCAAACAACTTTTTTATAAAACGATCGTAAGCAAAACCGAGCCCTGACAGTATTTCTCATACTTGAAACTACCGAATAGACATATGATTCCGGCGCTATTTAGCGTTTTTTTAGTTTCTCATGCTTAGAAACGCGATGTACATGATCATGTGATCATCATGAGCCTTCAGACGGGACGAATTTTGGCTCATGACACGATCTGGGCAGGATATTCACATATATTTATTGTTTCATATCACTCCAGTACTCGGTACCCACAGAAAGAAACAATCATATGCATCATAGTGCCTGATAATAGCAAGAAGAATACTGTTCTGCAACGCACAAGCGATTACCGAATGGCATTCTTTTCCTAATCAACAATTCGAAAAGCGATATTTACCATTATGCAAGGAAGATGGAACTCGAATTCGAATTGATAAACCTTTGCTTAGAACTTGGGGACCTCCCTGACTTATTTCTATTATTTCGGATAGTAAAGACTCTGTCATTGCTACTGAAGAGCTGCTAGGAGGGTCATGTGACAAAACACGAAAAGGGAAGTTTTCAGACCTCTCAGTAATTCCCAGGTTACTCTAAGAGCAAGTGGTTTGTAAGCATATATTCCTATATTCGTTCTGCGATAACTTACGCAGGTAAATATAGCCAAGATTTTTGGAATTCGAGAAATACTTTTTTTCTCATTGGTCAGCCTTTCGTAGGTCTCATTTGTCGGAAGAAGAATGGGAACATTAGCTACACAGAATGGAACAAACGATCTCTCTTTTACATTTATCAATATTGATCTTGTTGTTCTATAGGCAAATAGAGATAATAAGACAAAGAATAGAAATTGCAGTGATTATTGAAGTTAAATATTGTTTGCCTATGCGAGGAGGCGGAACTGAATCCTTGTATTCGTGAACCATCCATGAAGAAGCACTCTATTATAATGCTTCTGTTAAAAAGATAATGTTTCTATTGTCTTTTTTGTTAATATTTCTAGACGCTAGGGAATTGGTACCAAGATCATCCTGTTTGTTCGCCGAAAACGCGCAAAATTCGCATTTGAGTTTAAGTGCACATAACACGTGAGGTCAAAATCAGGTGAGCGAAAAATCCACGTGCACGCAGTATAAGAACACAGCAGTAGCACTCAGATTGATCTTTCCTCGCCTCTGAACATCACACAAGAAAAAGTCGGAAAATAATAGGGAGAAAAATAGGAAACGACCTTCGTTAACAAAAAGCCAGTCTCAGTATTTATCGTCAATATTCTATTTTGGGTTTGATTTTGATTATTTTTCGCAAAATGACTCGTGTTACGCTCGAGAAGCGATTGGCTCTCTCTCCAATGCCTCCTTCTCCCTCCATCACTCCCTTCGTTGATCGGCCGAACTCTGCGAAATAGGAAATACTCACTCAGCTCAAACCCAAAACTACGGCGTCACATCGCAGAAGTGTGTGTTATCAACAAACAAGATAATAATCGTGAATATTGAAATCTGGATCCACAAAATCAGGGTCGAGTCCTCGCTGTCTTCGACTCTGTCTCTTCGGCATATTCGAGAAATCGAAGTTTAAAACATCGTCATCGGTTGAGTCATCCATGTCATCACTATATGTGTACTTTCTTCTCTTCTTGGAGGATAATCGGCGACGCTTCAAGGAACCCTTTCTCTAAGAAAACAAGAAAAAGGGATACGTCTGAGCCGTTTTGGCGAACTTGAAGAGCCGAGCGGAGCATGGCTAATCGAGAGAGCAACTGCTGACGCTCAAGTTGTTGGTTTGTGCGTTTATCAAACACCTCGCTGGTTTGTTTTTCGGTAAGTACGGGAATCACAACGCGGTCAATCTCTTCCTGGGACAAGCCATACTTCCTTAGGTTATATTCGCGCTTTTCTTTAATTTCCTCGGTGGTCATATTATCTACGCCTCGTTCCCAATGAAGAAACTCACGTCCATCATTAATTATGATGCCATTCTTTCTGCACACGCCCGTGCGTTTTGCATTTTCCCTTCCGATCACACACACGTCCACGTGCAGTTTTAGAAATTCTACCAAGTCAAAACCCCTCTCACCACAAAAAACCTTTCAGAGACTGCTGTCCGATCATTCGCTGCACCTGGCAAACAATCTGGGACACTGTCTTTCCAGGCAATACCTTCAGAGTCGTTAGTTGCTTCCAGCAACCAATTCCATACTTCATGATCGAACAGCGAAGTACTTCGGCCTCCTGCTTTGTCCATCCTATTCAGTGGAAATATCAAAAGATGGATACCTGGAGCGAATGTGACATTCCACAAGGACTTGCTATCCGATCCAAAGATTTTGGTGATACGATCTACTCATCATTGCCTTGCAGAGAGTGCCACTCTTTGACATTTCACTCGGACTCGAAAGTTCTAAAGAAAGAGAGGCAATCCAAAAAAGGCGGCAAAACGAGTTTCGTTCCTTTTTTTCTCAAACAAACAACCAATCAATTTATCATTAAATCAATCATATTTTTAATAATCAAATGCACTATCAGTATTAGTAGATTATATAGACGATTTCACGTCACCTTGCTCAGTCTGCTCAGTCTGCTCAGTCTGCTCAGTCTGCTCCGACTTCTTCGTATCCTCACCCTTCGCTAAATTATACTCGTCCAACTCCTTCTTCATCTCCTCACATCCCGGAACCAAATCGAACAGGTTGGGATCGTTGGCAGCCAACACCATTCCCTTGAAGATACCGTTCTTGTGAAGCAGATTATAAGGCGTATCGTACTCCGCCACCTTACCAGCGTCCATCACACACACACGATCCGCATCCATAATCGTGTTCAGTCTGTGCGCGATCGTCAGCGTGGTGCAGTTCGAGAACTGCTTACGAATCATCTGCTGCAGGAAAGCATCCGTCTCGTTATCCAACGACGCGGTGGCCTCGTCCATAATCAGAATCTTCGGCTTCTTCAGCAGCGCACGCGCCATGCAGATCAGCTGACGCTCTCCCACCGAGAAGTTAGTGCCTCCCTCCTGCACGTCGTCCTCCAGCTTGCGAGGCATGTTGTCGATTACATCCTTCAACTCCACCTGCTCCAGCACCGACCAGATCTCCTCATCGGTGGACTCGTTGAACGGATCCAGGTTGAAGCGCACCGAGGCCGAGAACAGCACGGGGTCCTGCGGAATGATGCACAGCGCGCGACGGACATCCTCCAGACCCAGCTTGCCCAGGTCGATTCCATCGATCGAGATGGAACCCTCGCACAGATCGGTGATTCGGAACAGAGCGATCATCATCGTCGACTTGCCAGCGCCAGTACGGCCGACCACACCCACCTTCTCGTGCGGCTTGACCGAGAGATTCACTCCCTTCATGACCAGCGGGCCATCGCGGTATCGCAGTTTCGCGTCCTTGATTTCGATGGCTCCCTCCGAAGGCCAGTTCTCCGGAGGATGAACGTCCGTGTGCATGGGAGGCTCCGGCTTGACCGTATCCACGTACTCCTTGATACGCTCCACTCCGTTCATCTGCGACTCCATCTGCGCCAGCATTCGTACCATCTGCTTCATGAAATTCGAAAGGGCCGAACAGGCAGACAGGGCAACGCCCAGCAGACCCGGACTCATCCAGCTCTCGCTGTTCTCGTCCGTGAACTTGATCACTAAAATGGTGATCAAACCGATCGAGGCGCTCATGATGGCGGTAATCACATCGGAACGGAGCGACAGCCAGGACTGCTGACTCCACTGCAGAATCATCATGCAGTTGTTGTTACGGTCCAGCTTCTTCTCGATTCCGGAGATGAAGCGCTTCTGATGTCCGTAGGCACGGATCGACGGAGATCCAGCCAGCACGGCCTGGAAATCGGAGAAAATAGGAGTACGCGTGAGGGACTCGATACGCTGAATATCGATGTTGGATCGGCGGAAATTGTGCTGCCAGATGTAGAACACCGCTCCCACAATGATGATCACAATGGCCATCAGACCGCGCGTCGACACGATGATGCACACCACTTCCACAAGCAGCATGAACATCTGGTGGTAGAACATGGACATCGAACGCGGCATTTCGAAGTCCACCATGGCCATATCACGGTTGAATCGGTTCAGCACACGACCCACGGGCGTCACATCGTGGAACGACACCGGAGCGTCCAAAATCACATTGGCCAGATCATCGTGCAGCAGCTGCGCGGCACGAATACGACCCGGAATGAAAATGCAGATACGGATCACGGTAAGCACGCAGTACGCCAGAATGTATCCAGAATACGTCCAGATATAGCTGTTGGTACGCTCGGTGCATTCCTCCTGGGTCACATTTGGCAGATTGCAGAAGTTGTCGTCCGACCAGTTCGACAGCACGAACTGCGAGATGATGTTGAACACCGAAGCGATCACGAAGAACAGCAGCACCGTGGCCATCAGCCAGTTGCCGAAGGACTTGAAGTAGTACTGGTACACCTTCCACGAGATTCCTCCCGTCACCTTCGTCTCCGTCGTGGTCAGCGATCCGTCCTCGTGGCTCACGTCCGTTTCCGGCTGTTTCACCTTCGACTGGCGCTTCTCCTCGTCCTCCTTCTCCTTCATCGAGCGGCGCGAGGCGGCGAACGACGAAGAGCCGTCCTCCTCGGTCAGCAGACTCATCAAATCGATGTTCTGAGCCTTCAGCTCCTCGTAGGTTCCCTGGTGCAGAATGGTCTGGTTCTCCAGCACGATGATGTAGTCGCACTTGTGCAGATACTGCGTGGCGTTGGTGACCAGAATACGCGTACGACCGGCCATGTACTTGTGAATGCACTTGTTGAACAGGGCCTTGCCCACGTGCGAATCCACAGCCGCAATGGGATCATCCATCACCACGATATCCGAGTCCGAATAGCAGCAACGAGCCAGCGAGATACGGGCCTTCTGACCTCCAGACACGTTGATTCCACGATCTCCAATCTCGCACTCATCGCCTCCCTGCAGCATCTTCAGATCGTCCTTCAGAGAGCACACATCGATGATCTCCTTGTACTTCTTCTCGTCGTACGGCTTGCCGAAGAGAATGTTGTTCTTCACCGTCTCGTTGACCAGCCAGGCCTGCTGCGCGGACAGCGACATGCTTCCGTTCACCATCACCACACCCGCGTTTCGCGTCATCTCACCCACCAGCGTGGACACGAAGGAGGTCTTGCCGCTTCCTACACGACCCACAACGGCCACCAGCGAGCCCTTCTTGATGCGCGTCGTGATGTTCTTCAGGCAGTTCTCGTGGTCGCCCCACGCGAAATAACCGTCGCGGATCAGCACGGCGTCCGTCGCCGCGTCGTAATCCTCCACCACCTTCTCGTTTCCGTTGATGTCCTTGTAGGTGACCTTGCTGCCAGCGGGCAGATTCTTCTCCACAATGGACTCATCGCACTCGTCCAGATTGAGGAAGTTGGTGATACGGTTCACAGACACGGTGAACTCCACCAGGATCATCAGCACCATGGGCAGCATGGCGAACGGCATCTGCATGATCTTGAACAGCGAGAGCGAGGTGAACGCATTCGACGAAGTCAGCGGCTGGCCCATCACGGAGGGGTACAGAGCGAAGCACACCATAGGAACGATGTTGGGAACCAGCGTCAGCAGACAGTCCAAGCCCAAGTTCATCATCCAGGTCATTTGCTTGTGGTAACCGAGCTCCTTGTGACGAATGTCGTGGAGCTTGGCCTTGAACGGCTTCTCCCAGCAGTAGTACTTGATCACACGAATTCCAGTAAGCACTTCGTTCATCAGCTTCACACGAGCATCGGTGGTGTTCATCACATTTCTTCGAACCGGTCGCGACACGCCCACAACACAGAATTGGATGATCAGCATCACAAAATAAATGGCAATGGCAACCCATGTCAGGACGCCCATCATACTTGCAACTAACACAACGCAGATGACCAGCTAGACATAAGAACCCTTCCACAGAGCATCCTACCATAAAGGGAACCATGATGATGACAGTGACCATCATCATGAACATCAGCAACGAGTTGGTATCGTTACTCATGATGTTCACGAGCTGACCGGTAGACGTCGATCCCTTTGCTGTAGAAGTCAAACGCAGAGCCTTTCGGTAAATTGCCTCAGACACCATTGACTTCATACCAACTCCAATCTTCACAATCATCATCATCACTGCCGAATTGATCAGGGCAGTAAAGATAGGAACTACTAACAGAATTGCAGTATACACCCAAAGAATGCCCTCATCTACAAATCAAATCAAGCACAAAAAACACACTCTCAGCACCATTCTCAATTTCAGCTACAAAATATTTCAAAACCAAAGTAGGGACAAAGGACAGGAAAATGGCCACTATATTCAAGATCATTGCCACACTCCAATAGCCAAGACCATTGGCATCAATAATTGCCGTCACCAAACTTCGGTGCTTCGGATCCTTCTTCAACTGCTTATTCCATTCCTTCTCAAAGTTGGCATACAGATGTTTAGGTTTCATAGTGATTGAACTGTAACCCAAATCAGATTCAACTAAAGGACTTTTTCCACCCTTTTGGATCAACTTGGAAAGGAAGGACACACTAAAAGTCAAAGCTGGAATATAATATTACGTAATCCACGACCAAAAGTTCGATCTATCCAACAAAGAGAAATGATCTTCGTCCTAAAGTGAAGAGAAGGCAAAATGCTTACGTTTACATAAGACGGCATACGATTGTGAAGATCAATCTGCTCCAGGTTTTCCTCCTTAGCAGAGGGTGTCATTTCAATCTAGACATAAGAACAAGAGTGTTGCCATACATTCTTAGACATTGAAACTAAAAATAATACTGAAATATATGGTTGTGTTGAGGGGTTTCACCGTTCTTTCAGAATTCTATCATACTTCTTCCAGAACAAATATTAAAAATCATGTACGGAAAAGAATGGCGATGTTTTCATGATGCCCAGAGGTTTGTGGATGCATACATAGTCGCAAGAAGAAAAATCTACCAAAACAGTTGTGTCTCATCTTTTGTCTAATATTAGCTATTTGAAATTCTGCATGCACTTGAAAAGAAAAATAGGTTACTATGCCAAATTGTCGACTTTACTTGTGTTTCCTTCTGATCTTCGTTCATATTCACCTCTAGAATAGCAGAAATGCATGTTGTCAGGAGTTGTAGGCAATCCTTAGAGAATCGAAGCATTCTACGGATGGAAAGGTTGCCTGTTTATGATAATTTCCAGCGTAGAGTTGCAGCGAATCCATTTTTCAAGTTCTATTAATGCTGAAATCCGTAAAAGATGGGTAGAAGAAATGGATGGAGAAATTGTACGAGAATGTGTATGCTTCTATTAATTTCGGAGTGAGCGTATGATAGGTAGAGTTAATGTAGAACTTTTCAAAATAGGATTACAAAGATAGGGATTTGAAGTGGTTTAATTTATTCTTCTCAGATTGTTGATCAAGAGCAATGATTTCCGTAAACTGTTGAGGTCGTCTTCACATTCGCTTTCTCAACCATAAATCCATTCTTTTCATATTCTATACAACTCAAATTGGGTCGTTTCTTTCGCGTTTTTATCACAATCCATATTTCGTTTTCATTTATTCATGGCTGAAGTTTGCAATACATTTTTAGTGTCTAAATATATAGGCAGCTGTTCTAAAAGACAACACAGAAGTGAACAAGGTATATTTGTTGTGGTAATGTGAGTAATAACACAGGGAGCGAACGCTCGACTTGATTCGTTCGTTGGAGCTACTGCGGTTGCAGATTTGTTGAAATCGACTTTAGGTCCTAAAGGTATGGACAAAATTATTCAAAATGTGTTATTTGAGAACAGGTGCGATGTTTAGGTAACGGTGACAAATGGTTCGCTGCTTCTACTTCATGATGGTTGAATGAAAAGTGGTTGTTCTTGAAATTCATGGTATTTATGTGTGAATATCAGAACTACGAAATGGAATTCGGATGGTGTGAGAAATGTGAACCACTAAGTGCAAAAAGCATTAAGCAGTAACAAATACTAAAGATATAGAATATATCAAATTAATCTTTAATATTCCACTTTCCAATGTCACCATAGAGTACAAGCGAAGCCATGCCTTCTGGAGCTGATAGATGTTAATACTGGATGATCTACATTTACAAATATCAAATCAATTCAATTTTGCTCCGTAATATCAATGAACATGACAAATCATCGCTTATTCCGCCAAGTGTGCATTGAGCCAGTCGAATGGATTGGAATGATGGAAGATCCATATCAATCATTTTACTCAAATTCATTCAATACTTTCAATTACTGTTAATTTTGAAATTCTTATCATTCAGGTGTTCAATATCAGATCAATATTTCCAGCCACAATGGTACTGTAAATTCACCCGAACAACTTCCATTTGTACCAGTTTAAGTGTATTATTATTATTGTAGAATAGTCTTCAATCCCAAGTCTCCTCCATAATCAATGAAACTGGATTGACCGATTTGAATCGATCCCAATGATTCACAATTCATAATGCAATATGATTTCGAGTGGTTCTTTGCTTCTTCGTTGTTTTAGTTTGATTCCTTCACTTGAATAGATGGATTTCTGCCGATTATCAATGTTTTCAATCGATTCATATTTCAATATTGAGTGTTTTCACGAATCCGAAGCAATTATTACGAACATCAATTGATTCAGATCCAGTTTATTCTAATTGTGGCGATATTTCGAATAATCACACGATTCGTCACTTTTAAACTCATTATCTTCAAATCCATCGATTCATTGATCGTTCTGTAATATCAGGCATAGAACCAGGTTTATGACTCATGGCTGTTGCTAAATTGCACTTTAATACTGCATTGTGTCAATTATTACTCAGAATTATATAGCTTAATACCATTCATTTCCTCTCCATCTTTCCATGTACCATCCCGTAAAACAATTTAAGTCTTTTCATCAATCAAATATCCTTTCCCTTCACAAACAAAGCGTTCATTGACTTCGTGATAGTAAAATCCACACACATAAATTGAGATTCGTTTCATTATATCCGAACGATCTGCTCTACTTGGCTTCACTTCACTTCACTTCAGTCCTTGTATCTTCACTGAAACATCGAATCACTTCTTTCAATGCTCCTTTGAATCAGATTCTTTCTACAACCGTGTTTCCATTTTCTTCGCCATATTCGATATTCCATTTTTCTTTCATCTCCTTTCGTTGTATTTCCCATGATACATCATATGCCCCATTTTGGCATACCAGATTTCCATTTGAAGTCCTTGCGTGTGATAAACAACGTTCTGACTGGATTTCCTTCCTTATCTATTTTCGAATCGATGACTGAAATCAACTCGACCATTCTTGAATCGAATAAACTCCTCTGCTTCCTTTCTTTCTCTCCAATGCTACTATTATCCATTACTCTCATATAGATATACCTCCCCAATTTCGCTATGCAATTCAAAGTCATTCCTTTGTATTTCCTCAGTATCGCTGAACAGTGTTTTGCTTATTATTCTTTTCTGGGATTTCAGAATGGCCTACTGAAGCATATCCATTGGATAGATGCTCTGCTCTGTGAATTTCAATTAACGAAGTTGTTCATAAGAGTAGAACATAGAAACACTCTTTTCATCCATTTTTGTGAAATCAATAGTAAAACCCTATGGGATAAACGTGTCAATCAATTTGCTTTGTTCTGTTCTATCCTAACATGATTCTATACAATTCATTGATTAGTGATTGTATTCTATATTTATTCGTTGTGAATAATGAAAAGCAGAATGGGAGTGACAAATCTAGTATTTTGAGGCTTTGAATATTCCTCCTTGTAACACATGTCAATTCAAATCGATTCGATTCTCCCAATAAATCGGATTCTATCCATAACATACTACGAATCGAATAGCAAAGCTCTTAATTGATTACACATATCTGATTTCAAAATGTGGCTATTATTCTACTTACTATTGGTCAATAGGAATTCAAATTTGGGTTTCATTGAAAACACGATGACAATATTAATTCCCTGATTTCTGCAATCTTAATGTCTTTTGTATAAACATGATGAAGTGAGTATTGGACGAAGATAGGAGAATGTTTGATATTTGAATTGGCATACAAATAACATGTCTATTTTGTATAAGCAGCTATATTGAAAGTACTTTTTCTATACAGCCATACGTTATGCATCATATTGTCTATTTTCTGCCAAACAAGTAGATTCCTAAGTAAATTCTTAAACAACCAGAATTAGTGAGATGTTATGTATAATTGTAAATTCTCGATTCATTTAGAGGAGTATAATTGTGTTGAAATGAGAGTGTATTTCAAGCGATACTCATTATTCTATTCATGCTTCTCATAGTCACCTGTCGAATTACATTATTCAGTAAACGATATAGAGAATAACATTCACTTTATCGAATTCACTAAAACAACAATGAGATTGTAAAGCATTAAAACACAAAACATCGTTATTCTTCCACACATCTCCCCTAATACTTAAACCAATTCTAGTTATCCAAATACAATAGATCTGGGAATGGAACATTGGACTGTTGCCATTTTCTCAGAAATCAATGAGTAACAGTGGATTGAATTTAATCGTCAAACTCTTAGCTAAAACAGTGAAATAGGCATAGCCAACGAAAACTATCAGTAGTGTGTTCAATAAAAGAAATAGAATACAAGAAATGTGTTTATACTGTTACGTTACTAATGTTTATTACCTGAGAAATGAGTCAATAATGAACTGGAACAACTTCAACTCTAATCTCATTATCGACATCATTAGATTCATTATTGAGCGGTAGAACTTCAATATCAGAATCAACAATATCGAACATTCTTTCTTCATTCTCAACATTGACAACAATAGGTTCTCTTCTAGGTTCCACATTAACTGGTATCACTTCATCATCTGAATCAGATTTTCCTATTACTCTTTCTCTCTTATTCTTAGTATTGACAACAAGGAATTCTCTTCTAGGTTCCATATTAACTGGCGTCACTTGAGGAAGAGAAGAAGATCTCTCAGATATTCTTTCTTCTCCCCTGTCAGCATCGACATTAATAGGCTTTTTTATAGGTTCCACTCTGTGTTCTGGTTTCACACGAACAGGTTCTAGTTTACGCACAGTACGATTTAAGGAGAGATGATTTTGATTTTTTGTAGAATTTTGTGGTT